AGTCTTCATTATTGGGGCAGATCAAGGCTTGGCAGTTTGATGACCCACATTTGGAAGTTCTTAGAGAGACGGTACTGCAGGGTAGTGCCAAGGATGTTTCTAATGGCGATAATGATGTTCTGCGACTCCAGGGTCGTCTATGTGTTCGTAATGTCGATGGCTTGAGAGAGAGGATTCTAGAGGAGGCACACAGTTCTCGATATTCTATTTATCAAGGTGCTACGAAGATATATCGTGACCTGAGGCAACATTTTTGGTGGTGGCGGATAAAGAAAGACATAGTTGAGTATGTATCTAGGTGTCTAAATTGCCAGCAGGTTAGGTATGAGCACCAGAGGCCAAGTGGCTTACTCCAACAGATGACTATACCAGAGTGAAAATGGGAACGCATTACTATAGACTTCGTAGTAGGGTTGCCGCGGACCTTGCGGAAGTTCGATGCAGTTTGGGTCATTCTTGATAGGTTGACCAAGTCAACACACTTCATTCCACTTGCAACTACTTATACTACAGAGAGGTTGGCCCAAATTTATATTTGGGAGATAATTCGGTTGCACGGTGTGCCTGTTTCCATCATATCAGACAGAGGCCCGTAGTTCACTTTGTATTTCTAGAGAGCCGTACAGAGTGAGTTAGGGAACCGTGTAGAGCTCATCACTGCGTTTCATCCACATACCGACGGGAAGTTAGAGCGGACAGTCCAGATCGTGGAGGACATGCTCAGAGCATATGTGATTGACTTTGGGGGACAGTGGGATCAGTTCTTGCCTTTGGCCGAGTTTGCTTACAACAACTGTTATCAGTCTAGCATCGAGATGGCTCCATTTGAGGCTTTATATGATCGGCAATGTCGTTCTCCCATCAAGTGGTTTGAGCCCGGCGAGGCTAGGTTATATGGTACTGATTTGGTAAAGGATGCCTTGGAAAAGGTAAAGTTGATTTAGGAGCGACTTCGCATAGCAGAGTCCAGACAGAAGAGTTACGCTGATTAGAAGGCGCGTGATGTATCATTTATGGTCGGCAAGAAGGTTCTCTTGAAGGTCTCGCCGATGAAGGGTATTATGAGATTCAGAAAGAAGGGCAAGTTGAGCCCAATGTTTAAAGGCCCATTTGAGGTGTTGAGGCGAGTTAGGGAGGTTTCTTATGAGCTTGCTTTACCTCCCAGCCTATCAGGGGTTCATTCAGTTTTTCACGTGTCTATGCTCCGGAGAAATCATACCGACTTGTCACATGTGTTAGATTTCAGCACTATTCAGTTAGATGAGAGCTTGTGTTATGAAGAGGAGCAAGTTGCTATTGTTGCTAGACAGGACCGCCAGTTGAGATCCAAGAGTATTTCCGCAGTAAAGGTTCAGTGGAGGGGCCAACCAGTTGAGGAGGCGACCTGGGAGTCCGAGAGGACATGCAGAGCAGATATCCACACTTATTCAGCACTTCAGGTATGAATCTAAATCCATTTGAGGACGAATGTTTGTTTAAGAGGTGTAGAATGTAACGACTCAACCGGCCGTTTTACTTGCTAGAATCCCGTTCCCCTAAATAAGACTTCCCGTACTTGCTTCTACTGATTTATGACTTGCGGGGATGGTTTGTTCGGGATTTAGAAGAGTTTGGGTTGAAATCAGAACACTTGGTTCCTTAAGGTTGGCTTGAAAGGCCAAGTTTGACTTTGGTCAACATATTTAGTAAACGACCTCGGAATTGGGATCTGACGGTACCAATAGGTTTATATGATGATTTCGGACTTGAACGTATGCTCGGATCGGGTTTTGGATGACCCGGGAGCGTTTCGGCGCCTAATAGTGAAAGTTGGTTCTTGAAGGTTTTAGAAAATCTTTAAAATTTGATTTGGAGCGGGTTTTGGTGATATCGAGGTTCTAACGGAATTCCGAGACCAGGAATAGTTCTGTAGTGTCATTTATGACTTGCACGCAAAATTTGGTATCATTGCGAGTAGTATAAGTACGTTTCGGCGCATTGGAAGTAAATTGAAGAACTTGAAGTTCTTAGTTTTAATGTGATTCCAAACTTGTTGGTATGTTCGGACGGGGCCCCGGGGGCCCCGAGAGCCAATCGGACGAGGCTCAAACTAAGTTGAGAGTTTAAAACTATAGCTGAGTGCACTAGATCTATCATAAGCACACATGCGGTTGGTTAGCCATAGGTGCGAGCTCGCAGATGCGGGCCAAGCGTCGCAGATACGGCCAATGAGGGCAGCCCCAAATTCCGCAGAAGCAACCCCTTCTCCGCAGAAGCGGGATCGCAGAAGCGGTAAAACGCCCGCAGAAGCAGCCCAGCCGGCCCAAAACCTTCCGTAGAAACGGACTCTCATCCGCAGAAGTGAGGGCGCAGATGCGGTCCCTTGACCGCAGGTGCGGAAAAGCTGGAGGCAGTGATATTCATTTAATACGGGACTTAGATCAATTTTTACGCATTTCACTCACTTCTTGGGCGATTCTTGGAGCTTCTTGGGAGGGGATTTCACCTAGCTTTTGGAGGTAAGTAATTTCTACCAAATGTGAATTAAAAACTTAGATTATAAGTAGATTAACATGTGAAAATTAGTGAAAAACAAGGGTTTAGAGGAAGACCTAGGTTTTTGATAAAAATGAGATTTAACCATGAAATTTGTTATGGAATTTAGTAAAAATCATATATTTATATTCCTAAGGTTATGGGTAACAACTTTCTATGAACATTTTCGGATTCCGAACATGTGGGCCTGGGGGTGAATTTTAGGAATCTCGCAATTTAGGGTGGGTAATTACTTAAATTGTAGGGGCTACGTAAGCATGAAGTGACCAGAGTCCGTACGTGGCTACTATTTCTGTTTATGTCCGGGTAGTTTTATTTTTACACCATGCTTGTGGACACCATTATTTGATCATAATTGTTAACTGTATCAAATGGAACTAAGTTGAGGATTTTTATGGATTTAAAAGCTTCAAGTGGAATTGTCTTTATTTTGAAAAGAATCAAGAAAGAGTTATGATTTATTGATAAATTTATATTTGACCGTGTCGCATGTATAATTCGCGAGCGGGGTAATAGATGCATTTATGGTTCGCGTCGTTCGACCCTCGGCAGTGCACAATTTACATTTATGTTGGATCGGGCTGAACGTCCTCGATGGTATCCGTGTTTGATAATAAAACTGGAAGTTCATTTCATAATCGGTATAAATTCATTGTTTGTGTGATCATATGTTTTAAAGGAAGGAAGTGATTCAAGCTCCAAAATATTTCTGAAGACTTGTTTAGTTATTTCTTATTTTGAGTCTTATTGTTGTATATCATGCTTAATTAGAATTTCATATTTTCATGTTATTGGCCCTAGTAAGTGTCGGAGTCGACCCCCCGCTACTACTTCTTCGAGGTTAGGCTAGATATTTACTGGGTACATATTATTTATGTACTCACGCTACACTTATGTACTTAATTGTACAGGATTTGAGGCAGGTGCATCTGGTTACCAGTCTGGTGCGCAGATTTAATCCCCACCTCGAGACTTCACGGTGAGCTGTTCTGCAGCAGCCAGAGTCTCCCTTATGTTTTACTTTGTTTCTGTCTATTTTATTTCAGACAGTAGGCTAGTGTTCTTTTGTATATTCTACTAGACTGCCCACATACTTGTGATACCAGGTCTTGGCACGTATTAGTAGACTTTGATTTTTGGGTTGTAATTCAATAGTTATAACTGCTTTTAGATGTTTTCCGTTTGTTTGCCTAAAAAATCCGTTATTTATCAAATGATTTAAATGTAAGTAAAGCTAAATGTTGGAATTGCTTAATAAACAAAAATGGGAAATCACTAAGTTGTTCACTGTTGGCTTGTCCAGCAACGGTGTTGGACGCCATCACGGCCTAACATGGAGTTGGGATGTGACAGGTATGGCATGTGGGGCGGCTTCATCACTGTAGGGTTGCTCAACGAACCGACCAGCATCTCTTTTTGGAAAGAGTTTTGGGGCACCCGGTATTTTGTCGACTCTTTCTTGGTGCTATCTCATTTGGTCCCGAAGAATTTTATTCTCATTTTCAATATCTTCCATCTTCCTCAGAATGGCTGTGAGGGTGTCGTCACCTATATTTTTAACATTGTGAGTGATACTTGTTACTGGAGGGAGAGGACCGTGCTGCTCGGCCGTTGTCGGTGTAATACTAGTCATTGCGTTTTCTCTAGCTGCCTCCTGGGCGGGCTTGTCAAGGATGCTGGTTAGCGTGTTCGTTAGCCAAGCCTCGAGTAGTTTTTTCACTGCTGGTGGTGCCTCTTCCATCGTGGACGTGGAATCTCCTTTATCGCGGGATGTTGTGATACTTTCATGAGGGAAGGGCGACCCAACTCATTTTGGGGAGGCGTTGGGCGTTATATTCTCGCCTTCTGTTTCAAAAACCTCATTGATGGTGTTCAAGAGGTTGGTGGTGAGATCGGTCACTGCCTTCATCCTTTCTTCTCCATTACCTACAATGTCAGATCCGTGTGTACAAGAAAAAATAAGCTTTGCTCTTTTTTTTTTGTAAACTATGCTAGTTATAGATCTAGGAGAAACTAGAAATTTAACTAGGAATTTCCCACAGACGTCGCCAAAATATTTGACCAAAAAGTGTAAACCTTTGATTAAACTAATTAATTTTATGTAATGAGGGGTTAAGCCTAGTTGATATTAATATCCTTGGATTTATAACTAGCTAAAACAAATAACGTAGGATAGCATTGGTGGGGGATTAAATGCAGTGTGCATTTAATATTTTAAGGGGAGTAATGATAAAAGAATATCAAATAATAAATAACGATAAATGGCATTAACGTAAATAAGGAGAATGATTCACCCAATATCAAAAATGGTGGATGAATCTTCTTTCTGACAGTGACGTGTGATAGATAAATCCTAGAATATTGGAACTATTGGAACTATTCTCAGATCTGATAGAAAAGTTTGGAATAATGGATGGTAGAATCTAATTAGAAAGACAGTGTTTGTATCTTTTCTAGAGAGAGTCTTCTTCTCAAAAGATGCTTTTATCAGAAAGAAAAATATTACATACCTCTTCCCCTTATCTCTTTTTCTATTTATATGGGACATATCCCCAATCAACCCTAAAAGTACCAGTACATAGAATATTCATTGGAATACTCCCTTAAATATCCTATTACCAAAACTAGACATTAGTACCATCCTTGATACTTGACCTCGGCCGTTATTGACCACCTGGCTACGAGCCCCGCTGTCCACTAATCGACCTAGGCCACATTACTTTTCACAATACCACTCGATGCTAAATCCCGTTGAGGCAGATTTTGACATATACACCTATCATAAAATGGAATGAACCTCATTAGCTAAGAATTTCTCATCTCTACTGAATTTGTTGAGCAACGCCCATGCCCTTATAAACCCTACTATGGTAGCTCCAACACCAACAACGTGATGGTTAGTGAAGCCAATGGATATGCCATTATTCGGGAAAATTGCCACTTGAATGGCTAAGAGCGGGGCTAACTGGACTCCTAGTCCATGCCTAGGTCCTGCCAACTGAGGAACCACGTGATAAAAATCCTTAGAATTTCGGAGATGATTACCAATGAGACAATTGAAATCTATATCAGTCTTAGAAAAAGTAACGGATACAGAATCTCTTGTAACATAACGTAGTTCAGGATAATCGCTCAAATTTAGTGGATAAACAACGTGGCCAGCTAAAGGTATGTAGTGTTTGAGAGCGAGGGATAGTGAATCTTTAAGATTAGGAACAATAGTTTGGACGAAATCGGATTTGGACACAGGGAGCTTGTAGAATAAAATCTGCTGCATACGGTGGAAAGATAACCATACATAATCAAAATATGTGAGAGGAAGTGTCAGCTCAGCTGCACTGCCGGGAGGTGGCGCAACTTGAGATTGCTCAATTACAGAAGCCATTCAAAGATTAAGTTACAAAGTGTGCAATTGGTGTTGGATTGGCTTATCAATATATAGAATTGCATGTGAATCTTGTTAAAGTTGTTCTCAAGAGGCAATGCATTAAGTATGGCCAATATGGAGCCTTTCGTCTTTATTTCTCATAAACTTGGTTGTTGTCTCAAACGCGTATGGAAAGGCACACATCTGTGGCTGATATATATTGGGTTAGGACAATTAGCTGGTTGGTCAATGAAATTTGATTAGTTGCTTGATCAATCAAATAGTACTGTTGGGTTAAATTAGCAAAATAATACTCTTAATAGGGTATCATATTGTCCGATTTAGGCCAAACTTATATGTTTTCCCCAAAATGCCTCACACGATTAAGGGATTCATATACCTTATATGTAGCATCCCAATCTTTGGTGTGATATTATATGTTTTAGGCCATACTCGCATGTCATTCCCCAAAAGGCCTCACATCATTAATAGATTCCTACACTTATGTAGTCTCCCAATCTTTTCAACTACCAATGTGGGTCTTTGTTCGTACACCCAATAATTGTTTCCTCGAACCAAGTTTTGTGTGGCCCATTACCACGATCTACGAGTCAATTTTCGAGATTCATTGTGTACCACTGACATCGTCTGAGTATTTATGGCAAGCGAAGCCAGCAACTAGCTTCTTCTTGTGTGTGCGTCTCCAAGCTCGTACGGGTAAACAAATCAAGCCCCGAGCCCCACACAATAACTTTGTCATCGCCATACTTGTTTCGTTGAACTTAAGCCCTGATACCAGTTGTTGGGCTAAACCAGCACAATAGTATTCTAAATATGGTGTAATATTATCCGCTTTGGACCAAGCCGGCACGGTTTTTCCCAAATGGACTCACACCATAAAAAGATTCTTATACCTTATATGTAGTCTTCTATTGTTTTTAGCTACTAATATGAAACTTTGTTTGCACATTCAATAAGTAACTTAAAATCTTGGAAACTTCATCATTTGCATTAGATGATGAATGAGTGAACATTCTGTATACGGGTGAAACCGGGCCCTTTAGACGCCTTCATTCCCGATGAAGTAAATGGAGTAGAGATGTGACTGTAAGGAACCGAAAATGGGGCAAGGAGCCCCTCGAGTCAGGGTCCGGTCAATACACCTGCCCTCGAAAGAATCGGGGCCACTTCCCCCAGGTTCGATTCGAACCCCAAAACTTCAAAAATCATTACCAGATAATCAAGCACAACAAACAAAGAGGCGTGATATCCGTGCCCAGTCGAATGTTACGGCGTGAATCTCGATACGTATCGGCAGAAAATCAGTGATTAGTAAAACGGAAGATTTTTACCTCTTTTGGAATTGTACTTAGGGTAAAACTCCCCTACTATATAAAGGAAAATCTAACTATTCATTAGGCATCATTGTAACACGCATATCAAGGTAATATACTCTTATTTTCTCTGTTATTCAAAGTTATTACTTTTGTTCATCAGTTCTTCATTATCGTGAGCCCCGGATCGAAGGCAGGCATTTCATTAAAGTTGTACTGAGTTCGGGATCACTCCCCTTAATTGGTTTGATAATTTATTACGACCTTTATATGTTTAATCTAATGAAATTTATCATTTGTATTGAATTAATCCGTGTATCCTTAAAATCACATATAAATTTAATTGTTATCTATTTTTTAGGGTAAACAGTTTGGCGCCCACCGTGAGGCTAAGGATAATAGTGGCAATTTGATACAAATTTTCATAACACATTCTATTTAACACTTATTCTCTAAGCTCCTATTTTCATGTCAAATTAAAAATGTCAAATTCCCAATATGCCCATTTGAACATTGATGTTGAATCCGACCACCATGGCGAGAACAACAATGTGGTGCCCAGAAACGAGGCGCCACCCGTTGACCCCAACAGAGTTCCAGCCGCACACCCGATCGATGCTAACTCACATGTGGCTATCGACTCCGTTCTACTGAAAAGGTTCGGAGAGACCTTTTCAAAAGGAGCTATGACATGGTATCACAACTTACCCCCTAATTCTATTCACTCGTTTGCTATGCTTGAAGATGCCTTTATAAAAGCTCACGCCGGGGCCATCCAGGTCGAGACCAGGAAGTCGAACATTTTCAAGGTGAAGCAAAGAGATAATAAGATGCTCAGGGAATTCGTGTTGAGTTTTCAAATGGAACAGATGGATCTGCCCACGGTCGCGGACGATTAGGCTGTTCAGGAATTCACCCAAGGACTCAACACCCGAAGCTCATTGGCTTCGTAGCAGTTGAAGAAATATTTGATAGAATACTCGGTGGTAACTTGGGCATAACTGGTACCAATCAAAAATCAGGGTCGAAGACGATCAGCTCGGGGCTCCTTCCAGATCCGTTTATCCCGTCAGGACTAGTGACAGATCCAAAAGAGTCGTTGATCATGAACCAAGATCGAACAGAGATCGTTATCAACCATACAATGGAGATCGAAGGATTAATGGGTCCGGACAAAACCCTGTAAGGAATGAAAGAAGAAGTGATCGACATCATAATAACCATGGACTAATGAGCAAAAACGGTTTTGACAGACCCATCGGGTCCAAGGAAGCACCAAGGTTATCGGAGTACAACTTCAACATCGATGATGTCAGCATCGTATCAGCCATCGGACGAATCAAAGATACTAAGTGGCCTCGACCGTTGCAATCCGATCTTGCCCAAAGGGACCCCAGCCTAATCTATAAATATCATGACACTCACGGCCACATAACCGAAGACCGCCGACAACTGAGAGAAGAAGTAGCCCGGTTATTCAATAACGGACACCTCCGAGAGATTCTGAGTGATCGAGCCAAAAATCACTTCAGGAATAGGGACTCCAACAAGCACATCAAGCAAGAGGAACCTCAACACTTCATTAACATGATCATTGGAGGATTTGATGTCCCCCAAGAGACGATGTTAAAGCGTACTAAAGTGTCCGTTACAAGGGAAAAACTGACTCAAGATTATGTACTGGAAGGGACCGTATCTTTCAACGAGGAGGACGCTGAAGGCATCATATAGCCACACAATAATTCACCGGTAATATTTGTACTCATAAATAAATTTAAGTGTGTGTTAACTGATCTAAGTAGCTCGGCCAATATCATCATATCGAGGGTCGTGGAACAACTGGGTCTACAAGACCAAATAGTTCCTACAGTTCGAGTTTTAAACGGATTTAAGATGGCATGCGAGACAACTAAAGGAGAGATAACCCTGCCAGTAAACACCGCTGAAACCATTCAAGAAATAATGTTCTACGTGATTGAAGGAGATATGACATATAATGCTCTATTCGGGAGGCCATGGATTCACAACATGAGGGAAGTACCCTCGACGCTACATCAGGCATTGAAATTCCCCACATCGAGAGGAATTAAAATAGTTTACGGGGAGCAACCGACCGCAAAAGAAATGTTCACAATCGATGAGGTGGTCCCGATATCGCACTCTCGACATCAAAGAACCCAAGTTAGGTCACCAAGGAAGAAACCAAATAGCAATCACCGACACCAGCCTCGATCGAGCCAGAAAAGCAGGAGACAAGCGAGGACGACGATTACGAAGTCCCTAGGTCTTTCATAGCCCCTGACAATTCTGATACCACCAAGTCAATGGTCGAGGAACTGTAGCAAGTCAAATTAATCTAGCATCTTCCCGATCGGAAGGTATACTTAGGCACAGGGCTAACTCCCGAGCTCAGGAAAAAACTCACTCAATTCCTTATAGCTAACATAGATTGTTTCGCTTGGTCCCATCTTGACATGACAGGGATCCAGCCAGAAATAACTACTCACAAATTGAGCTTGGATTCGAAGTTTCACCCGGTTAAATAGAAGAGGAGGCCTCAGTCCAAAGTCAAGCATGCATTCATCAAAGACAAAGTATCCAAACTCCTTAAAATAGGTTCCATTCGGGAATTTAAGTACCCGGATTAGTTAGCAAACGTAGTGATAGTGCCTAAAAAGGTAAATAAATTAAGAATGTATGTAGACTACAAAGACTTTAACAAGGCATGCTCTAAGGACTCTTTTCATTTGCCTAACATCAATCTCATGATCGATGCAACGGCCGGCCACGAGATACTCAGCTTTATCGACCCCTATTCCAGGTATAACCAGATCCGAATGGACCCAGGCGACCAAGAAAAGACTTTCTTCATCACTAAATACGGCACCTATTGTTATAACATAATTCCATTCGGACTAAAAATCGTTGGTGTCACTTACCAATGCCTAGTAAATCGGATGTTCGAAGAGAAAATAGGAAAATCAATGGAGGTTTACATTGACGACATATTAGTTAAGTCCCTACGAGCAGAAGACCATTTGGAACATTTGCAGGAAGCCTTCAACATACTGAAGAAATATAATATGAAGCTGAAACTAGAGAAATGCGCATTCTAAGTCGGGTCCAAAAAATTCCTTGGATTCATGGTGTCCAATCGGGTGATCGAGATCAATCCTGACAAGATCAAGGTCATAGAAGACATCACCATGGTGGACAATGTCAAGGCCATCCAAAGGCTAACCGGGCACATAGCCTCCCTGGGTCAGTTCATTTCAAGGTCCTCCGATAAGAGCCATCGGTTCTTCTCGCTATTGAAGAAGAATAATAACTTCTCGTGGACCCCGGAGTGCCAGCAAGCTTTGGAAGAACTTAAATGGTACCTTTCAAGTCCATCTTTGCTTCATACTCCAAAGGCAGACGAGCAGTTGTACCTGTACTTAGCGGTATCCGAGATAGCGGTAAGTAGAGTCCTAGTCCAGAAAGAAGAAGGTACGCAATTTCCTATATATTATGTTAGCATGACTTTAGGTGAGGCTAAAACGAGGTATCCTCACCTGGAGAAATTGGTGCTCACTTTGCTAAGCGCCTCCAGGAAGTTAAGGCTCTATTTTCAATGCCATCCCATATGTATTGTGACTACTTACTCATTGAGGAACATAATGCACAAACTCGAGCTCTCGGGACGATTGGCCAAATGGGATGTG